CCTGCGAGAGCGAATTCAGCTGGCGAGTCGTTCGCCGCGCAATCAACTCCAAGGTGGTCGTTCGATGGCCAGCGGCCATCATACGCTGCATTCACTAACCAAACGATAACGCGCCATGCCTCGTCCATGGTGTCAACGCCATATGTGGCCCGAGTGGCCTTGGAGTCTTCGAAGATACCGAAGATGTAATTCTTGAGCCGTCGAACTGCACCCCCAGGCGCGAACGGCGACTGCCGCGAAATGCAATCGAACGACTTAGAGTGATGACCTCCGATGCCAGTTACTGGCACGGCGTCGCCATGGATGCTGAAGGGGGCGGCGTTGTCCCCCCACCCCCCCCTGCCCGTCATGGGATGCCCCTCAAGACGGGGGTCGCGCCGAGCCTCCACTTCTGTCCAGAACGCCCGCGGGGCGCGCCCGTCGGACATCAGTCCTAGCGAAACCTTCCTTGTCGTTCTGCCACCAATTAGCTAGCAACGCGTGAGGGAGCATGAACGGCATCGGTGTTTGTATGCAAGCGTGCGCTGGCGGTGCAAGAGGGCGTAGCGCTCGCCTCCTCTTGAGGGTCAGCACGTGCACATTGAAGAAGTTAGCCTTCGGCAGGAGCGGCTCGCCGAGGTACGCCTTTAAATCCGCGTTAACGTCGCCTGGCAGTAACAGAACGGAGGGCGAGGAGGATGATCGGGAGGACTCCCCCCTATCATCCGAGGAGGAGGAGGAGGAGGAGGAGGAGTCAGGGGTCAGGAGTCAGGGGCCAGGAGTCAGGAATCAGATGTCCAGAAATACTCCAGGAACACGCCATGCGGAACATTGCCCCGATGCACAAATTTTAGACCCCCCCTCCCCCCCTCCTGTTTAAGTAAATGGGGGGGGGGGGGGGGGGGGGGGGGTCTAGAGTTGGGTGAATTCCCATGGAATTCAACCACTTTCGCTCCCAGGATGCCACCAACAAGGGGCCCCAAACAGGGGCCCATGAGGGCCAGAAAATAACTCCAGATGGCCACCCTGTGGGCCCTGGCCTTCTTGGCATTCTCGGCGATGCGATAAACCGATGGGGCAGGCGGGGTGGTGGATGGAAGGACTTTGATGCAGCAGTAGCCTGGGCGCTGACCAGAGGCCCCGAGCATTGACAACGCACGTGACACATTGCACTCGGCGCCGTCTGCATACGCTGCGGCAGCGAGTCTTTGACCTTCAACGGCGGGTCTGTAGCCCCACGACCAATCACGAATTAGTTTTCTGCCCAAAATCGAGTCAAACCGTACTGCAGGAGCAGGTGGCTCGCGTAGATCTTGGAGTTCCTGCAGTGCAGTTGCTTTTTGGCGGGCGCCGCCATGATGAGCGCGGTGCTCCAGGAGGGCCCGACGGTCATCTGACGACGACATGAGCCAAAATGGCTACTGATCCCGATCTTGTTTGAATCATCACAAACGCGTCGCTAACCCCAAACAGCGGCGTTGTTTCCTTTTGAGCGGTGGTTGGTGAGTCAGCCAGCTTCTGGTTTTTTATATTATTTTGTTTGTTTGTTGTTTGCGAGCGCAAGCGCAGGGTTGACCCCAAAACAGTACAGCGTGCTATGTGTTCGTTAATTGTTTGAGCCCGTTGTTGTGAATGCAAATGCACGGTTGACCCCAAACAGTAGTTCGCTTTCTTTGACCACTAATCGTGTGAACTCGTTGTTGCGAGTGGAAGCGCATGGTTGACCCCAAACACTTATTCGCTTTGACTGACCGCTAGTGATTCAAACTCGTTATTATGAATGCAAACGTGTGGTTTACCCCACACAGTATTTCGGTATGTTCGACCGCTAATTGTTCAACTGGTTACTGTGTGTGGAAGCGCATGTTTGACCCCCAAACAGTACTTCGCTTTGTTTCATAGTCAGCGAGTTGAACTCGCAATTCGTTGTTGTGAATGCGCGCGTATGGTTTACCCCAAGCAGTATATTGTGTTATTTGCTAGTTAACTGTATGGGCTTGTTATTGTAAATGCAAATGTTTGGTTGGCGCCGAACAGTATTTCGCGTTGTTTGGCCGCTACTTGCTTGAGGTGGCTATTGTGATTTCACGCGCGCGGTTGACCCCAAACAGGATTTCGATGTTTGATCGTTCGTATTTTGAAGTCGTTATTGTGTGTGCACAAATATGGCTTACCCCAAACAGTATTTCGCTTGGCTTTATCGTTCGTGTTTGATCTAGTTATTGCGAGTGGAACCGCACTGTTGACCCCAAACTGCATTTCGCTGTGCACGGGGACCGAGGAGGAGGAGGGGGCATTCACGCACGAGGTCGCACTCGCACGAGGTCGCCTGTATCTCGCAACCAGCCGTCCGCGCGCATCGGAGCACGCGCGCAATTCGGACCCCAGCGTGCAGCTCGGGTGCAGCCTGGACCATCTGATTCCTCCTATTCCTCCTCCTCTTCATCCTCCCCCATCCTCCCACTCATCCTCATCCTTATACACGTGATCATCCTTATCCTCCTCCAGCTCGCCATCATGATCCTCCTGCTCCTGGCCCTCATCCTGACCTCCTCCTCTTAACTCCCTTGTCCTCCCCCTCCCCTACCCCCTGCGCGGCGTCGCCGCGCCCGTCGCTGCACGCATCGCGACAGCTAAAACGATCGCACTGCGCGGGCGCGAAGCCATGGGCGAAACTCAGACTCAACGCACTCTGCGTTCTATCCTTGCGTTTTTTGGGGGAGCGTCGATCCTGACCTCAAAACCCAGACGCGCCCACGGGTGGGGGCAGGGCCAGCGGCGGGCCAATTTCTGCGTTTTCCCCAATCGGGTTCGAAACCACAGCGAAATAAGCTAGTCGAAGACACGCACGGGTAGTGAATCTGACGGGCCATCGAGAATCCGCCGAAAATCCATCGAAAATCGATAGGTTCTCGACGATCCCATCGAAAATCCATAGATTTTCGATTTGGTTTTCGGTGGATTCTCGATGGCCACGGTTTCACACACATAAAACCAATTATTGTCTATCAAAAACTCGTTCGGTGTGTGATTCGAGTTCACGCAGTTTGGGCTGTCATCCTGACGAGATCTCACTTGTTGCTGATAGCCTCCGCCTTCTCCAACGCCTTTTTCTTGTCCTTCTTTGCCAGGCCCGAGCCCTCGATGAGCACCTGGTGGGCTTTCTCCAGGGCGAGGGAGATCCTCGCGCACGCCTCGAGGTTGGAGCGGCACTTCTCGGCGTTCAGCTTCTCCACGGGCTGCCCCAGCGCCGAGAGGAGCTCCGCGCTGGGAGGGCCGCAGTCCATGAGCAACTGCATCACCTCGTCCGCGCGCTCGCGGTTGATCTTCGACTCCGCGCGGTCGCGCTTGATGCGCTGCGCCAGCAAGCCTGAGAAGGGCACGGTGGAGGATGGGCATTGGGATTATTAGAAATAAGAAAAGCAGGAGTAGGAGTTGTAGGATGAGTAAAGTTATGAGAAGGATTAGGAGTATGAGTAGGAATAGGAATACTGAAGCCTGCGTCAGCAGTGAGCGCGGCGCTGGCGTCCCAGGCGTCCTGCATAGTCTTCATCACGTGGCAGTCGGCCTCCGTGCCCTCGCCCTTCGAGCTGGAAGCACCAGAACCAAGAGCCTTCTTGGTGTCGCACAGCGCCTTGCGAAGCCAAGCCTTGTTCTTGGTGACCGAGTCCGTGATCATCTGCTTGTACTGCTCCACGCTCTGGGGCTTCAGGTCCCTCTCGACGTCGCAGCCCGTATCAATCCTGCGGGTGCTCGTGCGGATCTTCTGCTTCTCGTACCGCAACTCCTCGCCGTCGCTGTCCTCCTCCATCCAGATCGCTCCGGAATCCTTCGCCCGCTGCAGCGCCTCCTGGTTGAAGTGGTACATGCGCTCCATGGTGGGCCAGCGCGCCCCCTCGCCCTTCTCGGCGTCCGCCTTGCTCTGCGTCACCTTGAGAAACTGCTCTGCTTTGCAATCTTTCAAGTTGTCGGCGCGCAACTCGCAGGTGCAATCCTTCTTGACCACGCTGTTCCTGAGGGCGCTCTTGAGCTGCTGCGTGCCCTTCACGCCCTTCTTGTCGCAGAGCTCCTTCCACTTGTCACGGACCTCTTGGCTCAAAGTAGGCAACATGCCCTCGAAGACGTGGCATTGTTGACGCGTGCAACTGCTGTAGTCCATCTCGCCAGAATTGTCCTCGATCTGCGGCACGTCGGCCCTCGACGCCTTCTTTGCCCACGAGGCGGGCGCGTCGTCCTCGTCGGCAGCAGCGGGGCGCTTGAGTGGAGGAACAGCCTTCGCCTTCGCCTTTGCCTTGGACTTCCCCTTCGGCGGCGTCGCCGAGAGAAACGAATCGGTTCGTCGCTCACTGGCCGAAACAAACCTTGAGCCAGAACGGCCTCGCGCGATGAAGGGGCGGGAATAATGCGAACAACATGGCGCAAGACTCTGCTCGATGCGCCCTGGGAGGCGTCAGCTTAAGGCTTTCATCCGATAACAACTGATTTCCCATAGGTTTGAGACCCTATGGAGACCCCATAGGAGACCCCATAGGACGCCATAGGAGACCCCTAGGAGACCCCATAGGACACCCCATAGGACCCCATAGGACAAGACATCGCAAGCGCTGTCTGGGGATATGAAAAGAACAGCAACGCGAGAGACAACACTGCAACGGATTCTGCATCTATGTATATCTGCAATGTTGAAACAAAGCTCAACATCAATCAGTGCAATCACTGTCGAGAGAAATAATCAGGCGAACACTACGGGAGAACATCAGTGCAAGCACTGCTTTGGGGTGGAATAGGACGTACAACGCGGACCCCCTCGGTGCAATCACTGTTTGGGGTGGCGATGACACGCATATGTTTACTAGCATTGTCGCAAAACGTGTGATCTGCTCAATGTATCCCCCCACACACACTGGCCTGTAATGCACGCAAGGCCATGGCATCCCCAAAGAAAGCTACGTTCTGCTGCACATTAAAGGCACCGAACGCACACCCTGAACATTCTTTGTCACAAGAACGGGACAAACCTCCTACGACAGGAGCTCGGTCAGCATGTTGACAGCGTCGGACCGAAAGAACTTCTCCTCACTACTGAAATGGACTTTCACCTTCTTCGCGGCGGCCGAAAACTTGGCGCCGTGACGCTTGCGGCTGACGGTCATCACATGGACTTGATTGCCGCTCTTGACGTCACTGGCGACAAGCTCAACCCTCGGGTTGTCCTCGTTAGTGGGGCCGCTCATCTTGATAGCACGGAACACTGGGTTAGTCTTCATCTTGGGCACAGCTTTGGGCGCAGCTTTGGGCGGAAACTTAGTCTTGGCGGCGGGTGCCGTGTCCGTGATCTGCTTCTTCCCATCATTGCCCTCACCGTCCTTGCTGGCATCAAACCTTTTTTTTTTTCAGTGGAAGGGGGTAGGATTGGGGGGGCCGTTCAACCGGGAAAAAAAAACGTTGTGGATTTAGGTGAGGCGGGGTTTTGTAATCTACATGACCTTCCCATCCCCTGTTTGCGAGCACGTTCTGCTCCCTCACATTGGGATCCAGGACGGGCGTCTCTAGGTCCTCGGCCTCGGCCGTGGGCTGAGCGGAGTCGTCTGGGGCCTCGCTGCAAGATAGTAGGTGTGGGGTCAAGAATGTGCGTTATAACACACATTCTTGACCCCACACCTACTATCACCTATCCCTCCTCCACATCGTACCCTCCTGGTACTCCACGTGGTACGTGTCATCCACCTCACCCTCCACCTCCCAATATGGCCTTGGCGATCTTGACGGGCGTGACCACGTCACCGTCGCCAAGGGGGGTGGGCTCCTCATCCGCCAAGTGCTTCTTGGTGAATACATACTGCAACTAGAATCGGACCTCCTATTCTCCAAGTATTTTGCAAAACATAATGGTAGACCCGATGGCGAGACGCCCCCCAAGCAGTCGTGAACGCGGCTGGTGCCCGAATATTCGCCTGGCTCAACCGACGTTGCACGACTGCCCGCGTCACTGCCGTTCGCATCCGAAGTGTTGCCGCCCTTGCCGTCAAACTCGGGGCCCCACTGGAGCTTGGCTACCAGGCTGTTGATTAATAACGTCTGGGACCTGCTGCACCTTTTCTTCAAACCACCTGTCTTGGTAATTTGTTCACGCTTGCAAAGTCGCCTGACTCACGTTTCCAAGTCCTTAGAACTGTTGAGACAGCCGTCGCGTGCGTGCGTACTTTCACCAACATGAGCTCTGCCTTGTCATCCCCCTGGGCACGAAACATCGCCCGAGTGTTGAGGATGGCGTCCCGAAGGCCCTGTTCGAAACGAGGCGGCTGAACCAATCCGTTTTTGCACCGACCGCAATCAATTCTTCTGCCAAGGGAGAGCAACGAGCGATGTCATCTGGCGTGATTGCATGCGCCTGGCTTTTCAAATCACCGAAACTGGAGTGTTGCAACGGCGGTACACGCGGCTGAAAGCCTCGGCGTAGTCTTTCACTGATACGGCATCGTTCGCAACCATGCGGCAGGACATGACGCCCTATGTGTGGCGAAAACAACGACGCACAGCGGTGGTTGCAATGGTGAGCCTGTCCTCCGAAATCGCCCCTGGGTGCCAAAATGGCTGCAGTGATGTCGAGTGCGACGCACTCTGACCGATATGAGAATATGAAATGCGAACACAAGCAAGAAACCCTAAGTGCAAGCATTGTTCGGGGAATGTTCCGTGAGCGCATACATATGCATTGTTCGTGTGGGAAGAAGGAGGAATGGAAGGGGTTGGGCCTTTTTTATACCCGTCGTGCCCAGGACGTCAAAAAATGGAGAAGCGGAAAGACAAGTCGAGAAGGGATCTGTGCAAGCACCTTTTGGGGAATGCTCCGTGAGCGTATACTGTCAAAAATGTATGCGCGCATTGTTGGCGTGAGGAGGAGGAGGTGAAAGGGTTGGGCCCTGTTATATCCGTCGTGCCCAGGACGTAAAAGGAGAGGCGAGAAGACGGGACGAGAAATGAACAATGCAAGCATTGTTTGGGGAATGCTCCGTGCGTGCGCGTGCATTGTTGGCGCGAGAAGGAGGAGGAGTGGAAGGGGTTGGGCCTTTTATATCCGTCGTGCCCAGGGCGTAAGCGGAGAAGCGGGAAGCCGGGACGAGAATGGATTAGTGCAAGCATTGTTTGGGGAATAATCCGTGAGCGTATATATATATATACATATATATATATATATATATATATATAGATATATACATTGTTCTTGCGAGAAGAGGGAGGATTGGAAGGGAGTGGGCAATTTAATCCGCCGTGCCCAGGACGTCAGAAAGGGAGAAGCGGAAAGACAAGTCGAGAAGGGATCTGGGCAAACACTGTTTGGGGAATGTTCCGTGAGCGTATACTGTTAAATTTATGCGCACCTTGTTGGCGTGAGAAGGAGGAGGAGTGGACGGGGTTGGGCCTTTTATATCCGTCGTGCCCAGGACGTAAAAGGAGAAGCGGGAAGACGGGGCGAGAAGGGAACAATGCAAGCATTGTTTGGGGAATGCTCCGTGAGCACATATATATATATATATATATATATATGTATATATATACGTTGTTCGTGGGAGAAGGGGGGGGGTTGGAAGGGGGTGGGCCGTTTATATCCGTCGTGCCCAGGACGTACAGGAGAAGCGGAAAGACGAGACGGGAGGGGATCTGTGCAATCACTGCTTGGGGAATGTTCCGCGAACATAGATATGTATATATATATATATATATATATATATATATATATATGCATATAAATGTGCGTGTGCAAGCGCTGTTTGGGGAATGTTCCGTGAGCGCACAGATCTGCATCCAGGAATTGCCAACACAACTTCGGCCAATGATATTCAAAGACATTCGCGCACGTTCGGACACGCAACATGCTAGATTGTGATCGTTTGCCACCACAGCACCGCCACGAGCCATTCAACGGAACCACCACCCACCACCCACAGCCCACCACCCACCACGCACCACGCACCCCGCACCCCGCACCACGCACCACGCACCACGCACCACCCACCGCCCACCACCCACCACTCACCATTCACCACCCACCACCAACCACCACAACCACCACCGCCACTACCCACCCACCCACCTACACACACCCACACCCACGCCCACCCACCCAACCACACACACGCACACACACACACACACACACACACACATACACGCGCGCGCACGCACACGCACACGCGCACACACACAGGCCCAAGGACTGGCCTTGAGAATTGGTTTTCACGATTCCGATTCATTTCTGTGACGGTATGTGAAATAACTATAAAACTGCCCTAGCTGAGCGCCGTGCAATTTGCCCAAAGCTGGCCTTCAAGGCGCAGGCCCTAGAAAAGCAAAAACCCATTCTCAAGGCCAAGACTTGTTTGAGATTGGAAAACAACAAGGGTCGACGAGAAGTCCTAAGGTTGGCAACCCTTCAACTTTACTTCCAACCCTTCAACCTTAGTTTCAACCCTTCGCCCAACCCTTCAACCTTAGTTTCAACCCTTCGCCCAACCCTTCAACCTCAGTTCCAACCCTTCAACCTTAGTTTCAACCCTTCGCCCAACCCTTCAACCTTAGTTTCAACCCTTCGTCCAACCCTTCGCCCATACCTTCAACCTTAGTTTCACCCCTTCGTCCAACCCTTCGCCCAACCCTTCAACCTTAGTTTCAACCCGTCACCCTAATGGAAGGGTTGAAACTAAGGTTGAAGGGTTGGGCGAAGGGTTGGGCGAACGGTTGAATCTAAGGTTGAAGGGTTGGGCGAAGGGTTGAAACTAAGGTTGGAACTAAGGTTGAAGGGTTGGGCGAAGGGTTGAAACTAAGGTTGAAGGGTTGGGCGAAGGGTTGAAACTAAGGTTGAAGGGTTGGAACTAAAGTTGAAGGGTTGCCAACCTTAGGATTTCTCGCCAACCCTTCAACCATTCATTTTTCAGGTTGCCGGATGCTTTGGGAAACGACTCCTGGTCCCCACCACCGTCCGCATCACATCCCCCACTGGTGTACCCAGCACCACTGTCCTCACCACCACTGTCCCCACTGGTTCCACCACCGCCCCTACTGTCCCCACCAGTGCCCCCACCACTGTCGCACTGTCCCCGCTGTCCCCAGAACTGTTCCCACCACGGTTCCACTCTCCCCACTGTCTCCACGGCCCCAACCACTGCCCGACTATCCCCACTGTCCCCACTGTCCCACTGACTCCTCCGCTGTCCCACTGAGCTGTCCCACTGTTCCCACCACTGTCCCCACTGTCCCCACCACTGTCCCCACTGTACCTCTGTCCCATTGTCCCACCGCCGTCCTCGCCACCGCCTTCACCACTGTCCCCACCACCATTGTACCCTCCACTGTCCCACTGTTTCCACCTCATTCCCATTGTCCCCACACCACTGTCCCCACCACCACCGTCACCACCACTGTCCACTGTCCCCCCCTGTTCCCACCATTGTCCCCACCACTGTCCCCACCACTACCGTCCCCACCACTGTCCCACTGTCCCACTGTCCCCACCACTGTCCCGCTATCCCCTCACCACTGTCCCCACCAACACCGTCCCCACCACTGTCCGCACCCCCACTCGGTTTTCGAGGGGGGGGGGGGTTCGAACCGGTAGTGACCCCCCCCGGTTTTCGAGGGGGGGGGGGGAGGGGGGGGGTTCGAACCGGTAGTGACACCCCCCCCTTTTCATGATGAGCTGGGGGGGGGGGGGGAGAGGTTCGAACCGGTAGTGCCCCCCCCCCGGTTTTCCGCCAGCAGCGGTAGAACACGCTCTTTCATGTATACCCACCTTGGGGATGGCTTGTCAGGGAAGGCCGCACCGTACGCAGCTCGTGCTCTCTGGATGCCTAAGAATGCGCAGCTCGTGCTTTCTGGATCCCTCAGAATGCAATGCGGGCTCATTTCAGCCTCGCGGAGTCCTCGGACCTTGCCACTCTTGGGAGCCTTATTGAGTTTCAAGCCGGGGCCAAACTTCCAAGTGAGGTCCTGGATACACGCAAGCCCAACTCCGATCAACTTCATGTTCCCATCCTTGAACAGAACCTCCAGAATCTCCTCCTCCGCAAATCCAACGATCTCGGCTGCTCTGCGCGCAACGGCGTCGGCAGCCTGGTCGGCAACAGGGAAGTTAGGCCGCACCGTGGCCGCAGGACGTCTCCTGTCCTTCTGGGCCTGCCAAAACAGGGACCAGAGATCAGTTGAAGGGGCCCAAGGACACACACACACACATAAACACACACAAATAAAACAATCCCCCATATTTTCCCATAGTTTCTGGGTTTGGGTCTTCCCCCCCACTGCCCATAATTTCCCATATTTTCTTGGGAATCGACGATTAATTGTGCCTGTGTGTTTCTGTTGTTCCTGATCAGTGTTGTCTT